AAAAAAAAAAAAAAAAAAAAAAAAAAAAAAAAAAAAAAAAAAAAATCTCACAGCAGTGAATTTCAGAGTTTGGGTCAACTGACAGGCTTGCATTTCAGGGCCAAAAATAGCAGTGTAGATGTTTGGGCTTGGGCTCCAAAGCCCTCCCCCCTTGCTGGGTTTCAGAGCCTGGGCTCTCGCCTGAGTATCTACTCTGCTATGTTTAGCCCCGCAGCGCAAGCCCAAGTCAGTTGAACCAGGCTCTGATACTCACTGCTGTGGGTCTTTTATTTATTTAGCTGTGTAGACATACCCTAAAACTGTATATGCAAAAATGAGATTGTGTGCCCAGAGGCTGAACTTGCATAGCTGTAATCAGATTGTTGGATGCAATGACCTGATTTTTAAGATTGCTGAGCATAATTGCCAAGTCCAGCTGAGGTGAATGGGAACTGAAGATTCTCAGCAGCTCTGAATACCAGGCCATTAATGATCTCATTTGGGCATCTGACAGCAGGCAGTTTTGAATGCACACGTTTAGATTTTTTGTGTGTGTGTGAACATTTGGGCATGTAAGATTACTCTTGGAAGCTGATTTTGAAAAACTTGCCCATAAAAGCATTTATTTGCATTTCTACAAATGACCGAAATAGAAAGTTCGATTGGAAACACCTCTCCCTCTGTTACACACACACACACACACACCACACACACTCTCTCTCTCCTCTCTCTTTCTGGTTGTTAAGCATGTTTATAAAAACGTTTCACTTTCTTTACAAGAGCATTGATGTAAAATGACTAGTTGGGTCAATAACATAAAAGCAATTTATATAGTGGTGATCAGAACCCACAATCTGCTTTGTGTATCACTTCACAGTTCTTCCTTTGTCTATAACAAAACAGAGCCAAATTGGGTGAGAGTTTGGTGCGCCTGGAAGTGAAGGGCGTGAGTACTGTTTAGAGCCTGTCATAATGTCGCAGGCACTGAGCGAGCTTACGCAGGCAACTCAACCATTGCACTGGAATCCTTATGTGCAGCAGCTCCCATAATTCCACTCCTGGATTTATCACACAACTCTACCATTGTATCTCAACCCAGACCTGCTGAATTCCTTGCTATTCCAGACCTGGGACCGCATACACTTCTCTGCCAGCATACCTCAATCTTGATCTGTGGCACCCTAAGCTATTCAGTCTTTTGTCCCCACACAGCTCTGCTAATGCAATACCCTACTGTTCCAGTCCTAGGTGTAGAGAGTACTTCATTCTAATTCTGCAGCCACCTCTTGTCATGTCAATCCCCTGCCTCCCCATCAAGCAGATAATTGCCAATTAACCTGCACCACATTGGGAGATCTTTGTTACTTTGTCTTTATGTTTTCTTTTGAGATTTTATACAGAATTGATCTCTTCCTCCCTCTCCCATTCAGCGGGACACGTCCTCTTCACATCCTGCTCAGTGGCACAGCCAACGATTGCATCAAGAACTTCCTGGACATTCTGAGGATAAGGGAATGATTTATCCTGCTGTGTCTCTGCACTGTACATCACTGTTAGCTAATGCAGAAAACCCTGCCAGTGGTCTCTAATCTGAATAATTAGGAAGCTCAAGTTCTAAGAATTAATAGAAGCAACATATGCAAACTGGAAGTGCTCTCACTACACTGCACCCCTACACAGCACTACACTACCCCTATACAGAGCATGAGCCCATTTCCTTTTTCCATGTTAATCCTATGAAAGGACATTTAAAGACATATGGATTGAATTTACAGCAGTGGGAGAAGGAAAATGGGCTGATTTGTTAAAGGTTTCAAATGGAGCACATAACTCTACGAAGGTGGAAACAGAAATGGGCACTTACATTAATAAAACGGGCAGGGGGAAAAAACGCTTTCGGAGCAGATCACCCTCCTTCCTCACCCCCCCCCCCCCGCTTTTTCCCCCAACGGTTTCAACTGAAAGTTTGTTTGTTTGTTTTAATTACAAATAAAGATTTTGTAGAATGATTTAAGCTGGGCAGACAAATCAAGCAAATTTTCTCAGCTTTTCAGGTTATGGCTTGGCAGTTTTGGATAGTCGGAAATAAAAGTGATTTATTCACTGGGAAAAGTCACTCATATCTGCCCACAAAGGATAGTAGTATTAGAGGGCAAAATATTTAGGGTCTAGTGCTTCCGCTGGCTGGGAGGGAGGTATGCCTGTTACTTAAGTGGGAGATGAGAATGAAATTAAGTCCTTAAGGCCTGATCCACAGCCCATTGATGTCTGTGGGGGTATTCCATTGATATAAATGGGTTTGGGATCAGGCCCTTAAGACACAGCAATAGCATTTATAGTGTGTGTTTCCTGTTAATATAGCAGTGTGTGTGTTTTTCACCATTGAAGGGTACCGAGTCCCTGACAGAGTCCTGAGAACCATCCCCTATCCCGCTATTGTAGCCTCCCCTTTCTGCAAGGCTCCACAGCATAATAGCCATCCTTCTGAAAGAGCTTCCTGTGTGGCACATCAGCACCCTTCCTTAACTGGCCAGAGTAATACATCCCATTCCCCCAGCAAGCAACAAGCTTGCTGGCATCTGAAACACTTTGTGGCCTGGGTGAAGGAAGCGAAAGGCCAGAAGCCAACTTCAACGTAAACAACTGCAAATCCATTGACATGAATCTCCTATATCTGTTGCCATATAGGGCCTGTGATACATATGTGAGCAATTCTGATTCTCTTCATTAGAGAGCAGTGCACACATGTACCCGTCTTTCATAAGGGTCTCATTTTTACTCATTACTGCATTTTACACTCACTGCATTCTTTCTCGGAGATGAATGGGTCCTGTAATGGAGAGAAAGAGCACTTTTGCTCACAACTTTTCAAGAGACTATCAGGAGTGACTGACTGGGTAGCGAGTACAATATTCGGCACACCTTGTTTTACACCCTACTTTACTGCGCTAATTTTGGTACTCCTTCTGTAGTCCCCATCACTTCATGGGAGGTAGGGAAGTACTGTTAGCCCCACTTTGCAGATGAGGAATAGAATCCCAGATGGATCTGTAGCCAAACTGAGTCCATTAGGGTTGGACTCGTGTAACTGGGAGCCAAATTTGATCTTGTATCTTTTAACCTACAAGAGTCAAACATGGTTTTCATGATGGATAGAGTCAATTGCACTGCAACACGCTATTCTGACTGCAGATATCAGAAATGTCCTGTAGCAGAGATAACAACACAGTCCCACCCAGAAGTGGAATAACTTCTGAAATAGTGTTAATTTGACAAAAAAGCAGAAACTCAGACAGATGCTTCACTTCACTTCTCAGAGATGTGGACAATGTATAAATCTCACTCCGAGCTGGAGATGCTGATGGTGATTCTGATTTGGTAATGTCACATGCTTTGACATACCACTGGGATATGTTATTATGAATGGGTCAGACTGTGAAGACCTTACTCACCTTACTTTTGTATCATGATTTTGTAAAGGTGGAAGTGGAGCATATTCTAAGTGGTTAGAAAAGGAGTTAAGAGTGGCTGTGCCACTGACTGACTGCCAACCTTGGGCAACTTGCATCGCCTCTCTGTGCCTCAGTTTCCTCATCTATAAAATGGGGAAAATTGTGTTTACTGATGTTAGAGTAGTACTATAAATCTTAATTAATATTAGTAAAAGTGTTTTGAGATTTGCAGATAAAAGATACTATAAAAATGCAAAATATTAAGTGTAAATGGTTCTGATTGAATCTGTAGGGCCTGTTTATGAATTTAGATTTGGTTTTATATATTTTTATTGATGGTTATATTGATTTTGATCAAGGCTAACTAAATAAGCAAAATATAACTCAATTAGATTAATTTGTGCCTGAAGATTCTCTTTTTACTTGCAATCTGGGAGTAAAACTACAGTTGACATGAATTTCAAGGGTATATTTCCCCCACAAAACAACAACCCAAAGCAACCTTTAATTACTATGCTGCAAAGATCCATCAACAGCTCACTTTGTTGTCTAGAAAATATTTTTTTCTTCTATGGATTATGTTGTGTGCAGGGCCGGCTGCAGGCACCAGCTTACCAAGCAGGTGCTTGGGGCGGCCACTTCGGAAAGGGGCGGCACGTCTAGCTGTTCGGCGGCAATTCGGCGGACGGTCCCTCATTCCTGCTCGGAGTGAAGGATCTCCCGCCGAATTGCCGCCGCAGATCGCGATCGTGGGTTTTTTGTTTTTTTTTTCTGCTTGGGGCGGC